CGGACATCCGGATCCCCGCGGATCCGTTTTCATCCCCGTCGCGCGCACTCTATCGGCTTCTTAGGGCTGCCGCTGCCGCTTATTTATGCATCCACCTTTTTGCAAGCGCGCCGCGTATCGCGTCGATACAGGATCGTCCCGCGTCGCTGTGCGCGATTCGATAAATATTTAGTGGCCCTTATATTCCTTGTTCCTGCCGCGCGCGCGACGCGCGGCACTTGAATTTTCCTCCGCTGTTTCTCCTCTTATTAATTCCGGAGACCACGGCCGGCCGCGCAGACGGAATTTGAAAGTATTTTTATGAAAACGTCGAAATATCCGCGCCGCCGACTGTGCGCGAAACTATAAAGACGCATATTTGTTTCCACAGCCACCGCGCTGAGACGGACGTTCGCTTACGCGCGCAAGTGGCGAAGCAAAGAGAGATGCATATTTGTGCGCTCCTGCGAAACTGTTTTTTACATTCTCGGCGAATAATATGTTTTAACAATGCGTGCTTACAATCTTGCGTGTACGAAAACGCTTGAACGTAATGCTTTACATGAGCCAGTTTAAGATTTCGGATTGGGACGAAAGTAACCCTTTTGGTCGCCTTTTTGGGGACAGTAAATTTCAAGAGAGAGCTTTTTTCCACTCCTTTTGAAAGAGATTCGAGATTTGAGAAAAAAAATACCATCGCGCGAGGTCGTCATCCTGCGAGCTGTCGTTCGTCGTTCGGGTCTGATATATTTTCACGCATATCAAAATCGCGGGACGAGTAGCTGATCTTGACGGAGATGCGGCAGGAAATTCACCGCGAAGACTCCCGTCGAAGCCGCGACTCTTACTTCTCGTTCCCGTTCTCGTCGAGGCGAAGTTTCGCGTACTTCGACCTGCTTTCCCACGCAAATCCCTTCAAGAAGAGCGCCTCGCGCGCGGTAAAGAGTTGTATCGCGTGCGACCCTCGCGTGCATGCACGCGCACACACGCACCCCGGCTTTTGCACACCCACGTCGCGTATGTGTGAATGGAAAGATTAAATAAAATAGGTCGCGCCGCGCCGGCTCGGAGCCGGGACAAATTTCATCGTAAACTCGCCGGAAATCTCGTCGTATTCGTTCGCGGATTTCATCGTGAAAATTTTACCGTAGTCTCATCGTGGATTTTGTCGTCGGCGAAGCGAGCCGAAATTACGCTTTATGTCCGATCGAGAGTTTTCAAACATGCGACGATCTCTCTCCCCCCCTCTCTCTCTCTCTCTCTCTCTCTCCCTCTCTCCTTCTCTCCCTCTCCCTCTCTCCCCCTCTCCCCCTCTCTCTCCCCCTCGCCCGCTCGCGATGGAGGTTCAACATTTCCTTTCTTTCTATTCGCTGTCATTTTATCCTTCGCGTCCGGGCGCAAATTAACTCGTGGCCGTATGCAGTAAACGTGCGACCGCGTGATACACGCGACTACGTGTGAATTCGCCAATTATTATTTCCGCGTCTGGCGCGTTCGCGACGGACGGACTGCACGATATCGGCAGAAAGCAACGTGTTTAATTCGGAGAGCGAGGGCAGACTGCGTTTAAAGGGTAAACAAGATACTAATTTAACCGTGCAAATATCACGCCGCCGTTGTTGCGATATTCCTGAGGGGAAGTCGCAATGTGATTGGCTTATTTATCGTTGACGATGTTACGTTAAAGGGTGGGCAAACGTCGGGCCGAGTTTGCGCGCGGCGAAAAGCGCGGGTCATCGCGATCGCTCCAATTACAGGATCAATCCGTATTCTGAAAAAAAGAGTAGGAAATCATGAAAGATAACGTTAAGGGATGAATGATTATATTATATATTAGGTGCGTGAATTAATTCGGTCCGTTTTTTCTTCCAAAAAAAGACTTTAGTATGGAAAAACATGAAAAAGTACGCTAATCAAAGTATTTGCCATCGCTTGCTATTATTTCTTTCCCATCTGTCTGGCAGTTGTTGTATTCCGTGACGGAAAAACGACTCGTCCTTCGAAGCGATCCATTCATTGAGCCATTTCTTTATTTCTTCATAATTGTTGTTGAAGTGCTGGTCCGAAAGCCCGTGTGCCATCGATCTGAACAAGTGATAATCGGATGGAGCAATGTCTGGTGAATACGGCGTGTGAGGTGAAACGTCCCAGCCAAATGCTTCCAAGGTGACCTTCACAATCTTTCCAACATGTGGCCGAGCGTTATCGTGCTGAAAGATCACTTTGTCGTGTCTCTTTGCATATATTGTTGTTGGTAGAGTTCGGCAGTGATGGTTTGGCTCTGTTTTAATGGTTCATGACTACTACACCCTTCTGGTCCCACCATATACAGAGCATTACTTTCTTGCCGTGAATATTCCGCTTTGGTATCGATGTGGATAGTTTTCCTGGGTCGCTAATGGATTTCCTTCGTTTGGGATTATCGAAATATATTCATTTTTCGTCTCCAGTTATGATACGATGCAAGAAACCTTTTCTTTTTTGCCTGGCAATCAAGATTTCAGACGTGGCTTTTCGCCTCTTGATGTCTCTTTCTTTCAGTTCGTATGGCACCCATCTCCCTTCTTTGTAAATCTTTCCCATGGCTACCAAACGCACAGAAATTGTTGGTCGATCAACATTCAACGATTGCGCGAGCTTATGTTGCGATTGACATGGATCTTCATCGATTAGCGCCTGAAATTCCTCGTCCTCGAACTTCTTCGGCTGACCTGAACGAGGTTTGTTATCGACACTGAAATCATCACTTTTGAAACGTCGAAATCATTTTCTGCATGATTTATCGATGGGAGCACTTTCACCATAAGCTTCTACGAGCATTCGATGAGCTTCAGCGGCTGTTTTCTTCAAATGAAAACAGAAAATGAGAACTTCCCGGAAATTATGCTTTTTTTGGCTCGAATTTCGACATTTTCGAATCAGATAAACACGATGTTATTGTTACAAACCCAAACGTTTATCCACTGAAAATTATTGCCAGATATCAAAACTAAAAAATAAAGTCTTTTGCAGACATTAGAGGTTAGGAAAATTACATAGTACAGCAATTGACCGCCAGATGGACCGAATTAATTCACACACCTAATATATGTGATAGATGGATATATTTTGGAAAATATCGGCGGCGGGAAACGATTTTATCGCGCAAATCAAACTGTTTTAGCTCACGTCTTTTGGCTATATATATTTATTTTTATTGTCTGACTTTTTTTTAATTATATATAACCACGAACTATACATTTTGGAATATGCGCGATTGCGATGCGCGAAATCGAGGCAAATATCCAACTCCATGTGCACTCACATAAAGCGAAAAAATATATCAAGAAGATATAACTGTATATTAAAGCAACGTCACCTGATAAAATTTTCTTCCTTCGGCAACGTTTTGACAGATACCCGGTCATGCTTTATAGACTTCCCACTTTAAAGTCCGCAAAAAGATGTCTTTTCCACCGTAGCCAATGTTTCCGATACAACCGAGCGCTCGATGTGAAATTATAAATCCCGGGCATTGACCCTCGCCCCCTCCCCCCTCTCTCTCTCTCTCTCTCTCTTCGTCGCGGAAGGCAGAGATCCGGGAGCGAGATAAATCCCCGAGAGAGAGAGAGAGAGAGAGAGAGAGAGAGAGAGAGAGAGAGAGAGAGAGAGAGAGAGAGAGAGAGAGCTCAGCCGATTAAACGCGCCGCGCGAATCGTTTTGACAAGTCCGTGCGAACTCCCGTAACAAGACGCAGCCAGACTCTCGTCAAACGCAGCCCACCGTCCGGCCGGATCGCCAGCACCATATGTTTCCGTCGACGTTTCGACGGTATCGCTCGTAAATCTCCGTCGGGGACAGCCGACACGGGCGGACAGATCGGCCCCGGCGAAAAGGGTCCCGACGATCGCGATAAATCATCGAGCGCACCGGGTCAATTACAAAGCCGCGTCGGTAAATAACGAATTACGCGGCTTTCAATTTGCTCGTACGGTATAATGGCCAGGGCCACCGTCGGCATCAGCAACGGTCTCGTCTCTCGCCCGCGATCGATCCGCGCGTATTCGGCCCGGCGCGCGCGGCGGATCGACCGGACTACATTCCCGGCTTTCGCGTCCTCGTTAGTCTTCATTAACGTCGCGCCACCGCGGCCGTGCAGGACGCGCGCCCTGACGAATGAATGAATGAAAAAAAAGGAGAAAGGAAAGAGGGGCAAAAAGAGAAACTCACGCGCGACGCGATAGGCGAAATGGACGTGGCATCGAATTTTGAAGTCGCTGCGTCGTCTCGTCGTCTCGGCGCATTTCCGCTTCCGCGCGCTCGCGCTCGCGCGGTTTGGCAGATGTACGTGCGCGAATTTGACAGCAACTTTACTCGCGTTTCTCGCGCGCGACATGTAAAGACGGCAGGCAGCTCTCATCAGTGCCTGCCACACAGCGCTCATATTCATCGTGTAGAAGGCCGAAATAGAAACATGAGGGGAATGATGAGAATTTTTACTCGTTTCATACACGTCGAGTGTAATATTGGCATCTCAGGGTATGACCCGCCCCGCAATATCGCGCGGGAGATCCGCGTCATCCGCGTGTGATGATATCGTGTAGACTCCACGATTAATTCACGCTGTCATGAATTTCGCACAATTCTGATATATTCTCGCTTGAGAAACGTAGGAAAAAAAGTGCTCAACTTTGCGCACCATCGATCGCTTCGCGTCGTGACGACAATCCGCTTCGCTGTGCCTCGAGCGGCTAGTCTGTCTGGCGTATCAGTCTGAATAACTTAGCGTATCGACGTCAGTCGCCATTGTGTAGATATCGAGTACCGCAATGTATTCGCATGTTCGAAATTCCACGGCACTCGCGCCAACCAAGTTTGCATACACGCGACATACAACCGTTGCATAAGGCGATATCCCTTCCCGCGTCCCATCGCGAAGCGTCATCGTTTCCTTGGTCCTTGGTGAGAAAAGTCCGCAATAACCATGCAGATCCCCCTCGGTGCGCGCGATGCGCTACAGCGGTGAAACCGACGGCTTTCAGAGCACCGTTGCCAGAACCGTCGGAGATCCGCCCTCGCCGAATCGTCCGTCCACCATCCCTTGTCCGCAGAGCGGCGCAGCGCTGGAACATCGCGACGAAGGGAGCGCGCGTCTCCCCCGTCCTCCGGCGTTCGCCATAAGCGAACGTCCAACATAAATCCTCGACATCGCGTAGGGGACACGTGGGAGGGTGGGGGGGGGGGCACGAAGAGGCAAAGAGCAGGCGGGGAGGGATGAAGGGTCGGCCTTGAAGGGCTCGGGGCCTGCCGGGCCTGTCGGGAAGGAGCGGAGGAGCGGAGCCGAGAAAGAAGGAAGGCTCGTCAGCCCCCTGAACAAGGGGTCGAGGCCTGGCGCCAGGTCAAAAGCTCGGTCACAATAGGTTGCCTGCAAAGCTCTGGTTCCAGGGGGTCGGAGGCGGAGGAGGGTGGTGGCGTCGGAGGTGGGGGAGGTAGCACGAGCATGTGCTGCGTCCTTCAGGGTGCCGAGAGAGTGTTCCCCTCCGCGAACGGTGGGGGGAAACACGGGGTGGGCGCGGGGGGCAGTAAGGGCACCGGCACCCCCGTTAGCGCCCACGACCTGCCCCTCGAATCGCTCTGGGCGGCTGGGCTCGACGAGGGGATGGGGTTCCCGCAGAGATGTTCGTACGCGAACCAACACACCACCCTCGCGACCTCCTCCGCCAGCAGTCACGCGTCCGCGAACCCTGAGGACCTCTGGAGGGAGAGGAATCTCACTCATAGGTATACACACGCAAGAAGTGTCTGGTGCGCGCGGGATGTGCCAGCGCTGGCACTGCTGGCAAGTTGAAACTCGCGAATTGTCAGCGGGCCGAAGTCTTGCACGCGAGGGGAATTTTTCCGGAGAGTTGCTGCTGGAACGCCCCCGTGTGTCCGCAGCACACACAGGGGGCGTTCCACCTTGATTTATTATCTCTCTTTGTCTCATACGGATCTCTCATTTCGGACCTTTGCGATTTCGATCGCGTCCCTTATATTTTTATATCTTGTTGTTTATCGTCTTATTTGTTATCGTATATGTATTTTATCTTGTGGATTTTTATCTTATTTTTGTGTGTGGAAGAAGAAGTGTTCGTTTGAGAAACGTTCGACAATTGCATGGTCGTTCGCGAGACGAGATAGATTTTCTCGTTTACTTTGACGAGTTCTTACCCGCATACGAGCGTTGGCACATCCTTGCGTCCTGTAGGATTCATCAGCCTCATATCCCATCCACTTCGAGTCGCACGATATCTTTGATTATGAGTCAACTTCTTGGCTTTGCCTCTTGGCTTTCGAATCGGTGTGTCACCGAAGGCTCTGATAATTTTCGATCCGACAGAAACTTCCCGGGCTCGCGGAGAAGGTTGCTTTTTATTTTCCGGCTTCGGTCGCGGTTCGGTCGTCTCGCTCGACTTACCGTGTCGCGAGTATCAAAGGAAATTGCGCTTCAATTTGTCTCGCCTTTGTCGTTGCATCGAGAGTCCTGAAATGAACGCGGATCGCTGTCGGCTCTTCGACTCCGGCTTTGTGCCGATTAATTTGTATTCGCTTTTCTTTGTACCTTTTCCGACGGAAGCTTAATTAGAGATTTAATGAGGGCCTCGGGACTCGAAATTCTTCCGCCCCTAGAAACGATCGCCGTTTAGTTCCTCCGACTTTCGTAGCGAACATACCAGTATGCTCACACACACACACACACATGGTCTCCCTCTCTCGCTTGTTCTCCCCCGCGCGCGCATTCCTCCCCAGCATTCCCCCCTCAGAAGACTAAAACGATTAGCGCGAGATCGAGAGCGCTACCATAAAATCGAAACGCGGGAACTCTCTCATCCTCTCGCGCGCCGTCTCATAACGTCTCGGCGGGAAAAACGCCACGGCTACAGAGAAGCTCGCACGTCCGCTCTCCCACTAGAACGCCCACGACCTCGGCGATCGATTCCTCGATCACGGACGAGATATGGACGTCGGCGAACGAGCGGCGCTTCTGCCGCACCTCGACCACCTCGACCGGCATCGGCTCGTCGCTGAACCTGCACGAGAACAATCGCTCGCTGGAGTCGCGCGACGGCGACTTCTACTCAACCGACATCGAGGACTCCAAGGACACGTACCGCAGGTTCTATCCGACCACTCCGACCACCTCCGGTCTCGGCTCGTCTTCGGACCGGCAATCCGTGGAGACGCAATGCGGCTCCAGGGATCTGCCGGACCACCTATGGGCGGCCGCGATGGAGGATGGTTTCTCGCGCTTCAACGCCATGAAGTCGCTGCAGACGATCACACGGCAGCCCCGGCCGAACCACGACTGGGTGAAGACCGAGCGGATCTCGAGGTTCACCAAGCACCGCACCATCAGCCAATCGCCGCAGCGCGAACAGGAGATCTGGACGTCCAAGCTGAACGAGAGCGGCGTGTCCGGCTACGCCACGCAGCGGAATCTCGGCCCGCACAAGTGCCACCATCAGGCCAGGAGGAGCTTCTCCACGTCGATCGTCGCGGACCTCGCGGTCACGCCGGACGGGTCGCAGCAGAGCCTCGGCAGCGGCGAGTTCCTGGTGAGTCTCGATGTCGTGTCGGTGTCGTGTCGTAGGATATATGCGGGTAGTAGCTCTTAGTAGTGGCCCTTACATGGCTGTCCCATGTTCGATTTCTCGGCACTCGATTGATTGGCAAATGCAAATTAAGCCTCCAAGTAGCGAGATGCGAAGAGCGTGTCTACACTTGTACTGACCCGAGAAAAATCTCAATCTCTAAGCACTGTCTGTCGCTGTCACGGCATGGCATCGCGATATGCTATCGTCGATCTCTCGGAAGAGAGATGAGCGCTACGAACATATGGGAGCGATCATTCCTCACTTTCCGTGTTTGCTCGTAGACGAGCAAAATCTTGTGCTCAAGTTACTCGAGAAATTTTGGGTGGGCTGTGGGGGGGAACGATCTCCCCGAGTGATGAACCGCGCCGCGTCGAATGTATATATTGATGAGCGTGCATCATCAAACGTCGACGACCTCGGTTTCTGATAGCCGCATGGAAGTTAACGAGGTCTGTTTGAATCTCGTGTCTGAAACGTTACTCACTTACTTCTGATTACTTTTAATTTCCCCGCCGGGGGACATCCATAATTTCTCAGGAAATCTCTCGGACCGGGTCTTTTCCTAGTCAGGTCTTATTCTCTCAAATGTTCCGCTAGATCTCGGGGTCCTTTCCTGATCAAATTCCAGCAAGTTTTCTCTGTAGCTAACTGAGCAAAGAATTTTTCTATCACTTCATTTTACGCGACACGCATTATACTTCGATCGGTGTGCATTTTTTTCTCTCCCTGTTTCCGAGCACGTACGACGTTCATGAAGATGCGAAGTTTCGCTCGAGCGGAGCCGAAAGTTAAGAACATTCTCGGAACCGATGTACTACAGTTCGCTCATTAAACTCGCGTATTACAGTTATTATCGCTATAATCGCGTTACGGGACGCTCGCGCGGGTCGTCGCGGATTTAATAGCTCCTCGCGGTTCTTCTCCTCTCCGCGAGGGTGACTGTAACGCTTTGTCCTGCGTCGTCGGTCGGTCGTTCCTGAAAATGCACCGCGGTAGAAAAGAGGCGAAATTACAAACTGCCGTCCTCGGTACGCTCTCCAACCGTTGATTATCGTAATGGCCGCGGCCGCTCGAGTGCGAACGTTCTCGACTGAAGCGAAGGGTGGCGGCAGCGGCGGCGGCTCTTAACCCTTTCCTTGCGCTTCCACTTCGCGGAAAGGGACTTAACCCACTGACTTATCACGTCGCGGTCTTTGGATTACCTTGCAGCGAAGTCTGCGATGAGGAAGAGAAGGGGCCAGACGGGGGGACGAGAGAGAGAGAGAGAGCGAAAGGAGTCTCGTCGCGCTCCGGTTTTCTTTTTGCCGCGGCGAAGGCTTTGACGCGAACTCTCGGGACCGTAAACTGAATTTATCGCCGCGTCGCGGTAGCGCGCACGGTCTGTGTACATTTTAAGGCGGATTACCGACCTTCCTCGCGGCGATTCTCCGCGGTAATTGAATATACATCTTGGCGCAAGAGTCGCGAGAGAGAGAGAGAGAGAGAGAGAGAGAGAGAGGGGCAGCACGGGAGGCGCACGGGAGAAAAATTAGGGCGAAAGCGGATCGTGCGTGCGACGTCGACAATGATATCGTGTTCTCCGCGAACAAACGGAAGAAAGTTAGGAGAGATTGCGATATCCTAAAATAATGATGCTCGAGAGTTTTCGGGATTACCAAACTTGAAGACGTTTCGCCCGAAAGGGACGTAATTTTGTTATTATTATTATTATCATCATTATCGCTTCATTGACTTGCTTTTATTAGTTATCACACGCGGCTACGTTACATGATTATATATTTAATATTTATTTTATTTTCACTTTACCGAATATTTATGTTTACTTATTTCTTAATTATCGCACGACGTTACATACGCTGCCGTTTCCATTTCGAGCGCGGGAGCAAAGGGTTTCCCGCGTCGCTGCGGTCTCTCCTTCCAGCGTGGTATAAATAAAATAAAATTCACGTTTCCGTCGAATACAAACAGAACGCGAAAGCATTGCATCCACTCGCGCGGCAGAGCAGAAAGTTGGCAGAAACTATTAAAACAGCGGGCGTCGCTCGCGCAAAACTCGGACGCGCGCTGCATGTCGAGATCCACCGGGTCGGGCTGTAAACATTTTAAGACGGACTCTTCGTGGACGCAGGTATATTTCAGGCGTCTTATCGCCGATATTCGTTGTATATCAGTTTGTGTACGAGCTCGCGTGGGAGAACACACGGCGACACACGGCGGCAGCGGACCGCGTTGTCGAACGCGCGTATCACCCGCGCAGATAAATCTGAAAGGTTCGATGAAGCACTTACATTATCGACTGAATCGCCCGTCCCGATTTCTACGAAGAATAATCCGTATTTATTCCCATTATTCCGCGCGCGTTTGTCCGCTTCCTCGAATTTTAATTTCAAACGAGGCACTCGGAAAATCCGGCGAAAGTCGTATCTCCGCGAGATCCTGCCGCGTTAATGGAATCGGAATATCATTCGTAAATGAAGTTGCTCCCCGGCCCGCTTCTGCTCGGAGGCTGCGATCCTCCGCTGTGTGAGTGTCTCCGATCGTTGTGCTACGATTGCTCGCGTTCATAAATATAGAATCGTA